CCCACCCCACGGCTTGCAGGGCCCTAACGGCCGAAGAAGCGTATAAAAACGGGAAAAAGGGCAACAGCCCAAATAGTACCGTACCTAGCCATCGACGAGCGGACCAACGTCGTTTTAATATCTGTCGTTTTAAGCCCCTGTAATTCTTTACTCTTACAGGTTTGTTTATATTTGGAGATTTTGGAGTTGATACAGCAGCTCTATATAATTTCTGTGAAAAATTGGCGTAATTATTGCTCTGAATATTTTTGTAATTTTGAAATTGTTAATATTCTGGTATGTACCTAATGAAATAATAACCAACAGTCAAGGAAGAAATCACAGTTGTGTATGAAAAATACAAGAATAGATTAGCAGTGCATCCAAACCAGCTAGCATCAAATTTACTCAACAACAAAATATCCGCAACAAGACTGAAGAAACATCAAATTCTGTGACACTTTCATGCAAGTACCTTGACTAATTTAAAAATAGAGAAACATGTGCAACTTGACTAAGAGTACTGGCCAATGGGCAAGTACTCACATGTTACAGGTAGTATTTATAAAATTTACTTATTGGCCTATGGGACAGATTGTAAATAAAGATGGGGGAAAAAAATTAATATTCTGGATAATCGAATTCAGCCAATCCAATTCAAATTTAAATTCTAATTCGCGTATTTAAATTTCAATCGTTCGCGTTTGATTGGCTGACTTCAAATTTTAATATTTAAATTTGAAAAGCTCGAATTTTATCGACTGAATTCAAATTTGAAAAGCTTGCATTGTATTGGCCGAATTCAAGTTTGAATATTTAAATTTGACTAGCTGAATTCAAATTCGAATATGTAAATTTCACTAGCTTGCATTTCATTCGCGGGATTCAGATTTTCATTTCGATTCGAATATTAGCAATTAAGCCATTCAACTTTGTATACTTGAATTTCGATAGTTTCACTTTGATCGTCTAAATTGAAATTTTCCCCAGTTCAACGATATTGACATTCGAATTTCCAATAATTTCAATAATCAGACAGACATGGTACCACTTCGTTACAAAATCTTATCAACAATCCTTTGCCACTCTACTCGAAACATTTTCCAATCAAACACAAAGTATTCCTTCCACTTAAAACCACTCCCACAGAGATACGCAATTTCCCCTCTGTTTCATTATCATTCGTTGGAGCACCGGGATGCCTCCGCGCCTGGATCGTGTGTTTCCGTAGCAAACGAAAATGTACCGTATGTCGTGTTCCCACGATGTTATCTCTCGCTTCTCCCACACCGCGTAACACACTCGTCGTGTCCAAGCCTCTCTAATCACTGTCTCGACAAATTACCCTTTAACCACGTCCCATCCTTTTCTCCTCTATTTTCCAATCTAACTTCCTCCTCCCGAGGACATTTCGGTCACCGTTGTTTTTGGCAACGCACCAAACGTAGATCACCGGGAAATCCAACCAGCGCGGTCACTCAACGAGAGAAACCAGCTTACCCGTTTCTCTATCGGGATAACGACCTTTGTCTCGCGATCCTCCCTAGTCCAAAACACATATTTACCGCGTAATCTCGCCTCTTCCAAGAACTAGCGTTGCCCCGGGCACCGCGTGGTTCCTTCCTTTTTCTCGAGATTAATCGGGTATCTGGCTCCGTTCAGACGTAACAAAACAGCCGAGTAATCGTTCACGTGTGCTCCTGAGAAAAAATTCGACGAACAAACTGTGTTTACAATGGACCAAGCTTCTTCTCTCACGGTCACCAGAAATTGTCTTTTTTTTTTTCGGTTGGAAAAAGATATGATTCAGTTTACGAGAGCGATTGTTAATCTCAATGGTGGAAATTAATTTCGTCCGACTTTTTGGGTGCAATCGAAGTTTCGTTTAACCCTTTCGATACGGATTCATCTTTGGCCGCTGTATCTCCGTTGAACGGACAGTTTTGTCAAGAACGCGCTGACACTGGCAACGTAACGAATTGGCGGGAAGAAATTATGCTCGAACACGTTATATAGTATTATAGTAACATTTTATAAAATTGCTTAAGCACGTAGTGCTTAAACTTGTTGAAGTAAGAACAACGTTTCGTTTAATTCGGCTAAATGTGAATAATAAAAAAGTTAAAATAGTAACTTTAATATGTTGACTGCCACGCGAGATTTACAGGTTTTGCTCGGGAGGCCACAAAAGAATTTTCATTATTCTAAGCATAGTATTATATTATGCTTTATTATTTTTGTTTGTTAATTCAAAATTTCAAGACGTTCGAAAGTTTTAGTTGACGGTATTCGTTTTATTTGAATTATTCTAAATATTTCAGACACTAATGACCACCGTGGCCCCATCGAGGAAACATAATTTTGTGCGACTATAGTCGCCCTTAGTATCGAAAGGGTTCAAAAAGAATGAAACGTTTGCCACCTTTTGCCATTTTTTTCACAGCCCACGAATACTCTCGGTCAGTCGCAAAAAATTCATTTCTACGCGGAATTCGCAAGTAGAAGGTGTGTTTTCGTACGATAACCAGGCTCTTCTATCGAAGAATATGAAAGAACGAGCCATTAGTCACATCGGGTTTACCCAAAAACTGTCTTACCCCGAAATCTACGCAAGAGAAGAAGAAAGAATCGATATTGATACAGTATCAATATTGATACAGACTTTTAACCGTTAGCGTAGGTTGCGCCCTCGATAACTCTAGGAGTGCTTATCTTCCGCACACAGCAATTGTCATTAGTCTCTCCCAGTTAACTTGTGCGCTATTTAGATTCCACCGAGACGTTCTTGGAACTTTCGAGACAACATTCGACGTGAATACAGAAAAGATCCATTATCTAATTTCAATCTTTTAACATCGACTTGCTCGAACTTCTCGTTTAGAAACGTGTTTAATTTCAGAGGAAACAGTACTCTGGTTATTCTTAACCCTTTCGCTCCGATGGGCGTTTGTTAATAAATAGCATTTTGCTGACTAAAAATTCTTTTGTTGAAATTGTTATTACTGACACTTACAATCTTTCTTATGTCTCATCTTCAATGGACAATATAATACCCATTTTACGAATTGTCCATTCACCGATCAAAATTAACCACAAACAATTCTTTCCAAAAACAAATGGCTCGTCGAAAAGTGAACGTAAGGCAAATAAAGTAATACGCACAAGATCAACAATATTTTCAATACTGACAAATACTAAAAGAAGGATTGAGATTGAAGAATTTGTATGCTTCGAAACGTACTTTACACTTTCTGCACTTTGAAACATGAATAAGTTCTATACTTCCCAGACAGCTTCGTCTATCCATTACGTCCATAACAACGTATAAAAATTACGTCTTCAATCCATTAATTCTCAGAAGTAAGTTCAAGATAGTACTTTTCATTATAAACAGAAACACGCGTAAATAGGTAGTTACAATAAAAAAAAAAGAACAAAAATTTGTGACCTTGCTAGTGCCTTGTGATAGTCGTGCAAAATGGATTTTAACTGATAGGATGTTATTTCAAGTGAAACCATTTTGATAAATTTAGAGCATTTCATATTTTTACATACTACAGATGTTTTCGATCCGTGAAACTGCAAAAGATTACATAGGCTATTTAGGTATAATTTGAATACAAATAAAAACTAGGCTCTTATTTTGTATTAATAAATTAAAGACATAGAAGACGTCCCCTTTGTAACATAAATTGGATTAAATTGAATTGCTAAGGTAATATAATTTTTTTATTAGTTTTTGTAAAATGTTTCGTTCATGCAATTGTGGGGATTAATGGGTAAAGACGTTTGATTTGTAACAATGGACGGCGTTCAGACGTCCTTTGGACATCTTTAGGCTTTTACTCGACGTCTTTAACCCTTTCGCTCCGAAGGGCGTATATATACGCTCTCGAAAAGTGGGCGCTCGGGTACGAAGAGCGTACATATACGTTCATACCATATATACTTTTCTTTCTTTTTTGTTTTTGCGACAAAATTATCCGTTCGCCAAATTTCATTTAAATCTTATAAGACAGATATTGGAAACATATGGGAAACAAAAATCAGATATGAAATGTTTAGTTACACGAAATAGTAACAATGTTGAAAGACTTGCTGAAAGACATTTTCCGTCTGTATATTCGAATAAGGCGGCAAAAAAGAAAAATCAAGTTCGAAAATGTGTCATCTGCAGTAAACAAGGAAAAAGACGTGAGTCCAGATACTATTGTTCACAATGTGATGTTGGTTTATGTGTGGCTCCACGTTTTGAACTTTATCATACCAAAGTTGATTATTAATTATGTGATCGCCTTTAAATACTTTAGTAATTTTGTTATATTGTAATAAGAAATATTATATGAACATTATAATGTAATATTTTAAAAAATAAGTTATAATTATAAATTTTTATATTTTAGAAAATAAAATGATATTACTAAATATAATAAACTTCATTGTAAAATTTAGAGAACAAGAAACGACTTGTAATTACTTCGTAGCATTCCGTACCTCAGGTGTCGACTAGTCAGTAATGCGCTCCGTTCATAGAGATCATATTTTGTCAGAAGCGCGCCGTAGCGAAAAGGTTAATCAGGCCGTCAGATCGATAAGAACCCACCGATAATTATTGTCACGTTCGATTAGATAACACAATTGAAACCGCCAAGCAAGGCGAATGGGCTATTTATATTTTGGAAATTTTCGCGGGAAGTTTGTAACGGAACGGTAGTAAATATTTTTCTCCGATCGTTTAGAGACGTGTTACGTGTTTCGATAAACAACCGCGCTACAGATAACGCTCTTATCTGCTGTACATTTGGGACACGCGGAGCATTAACAAGCCTCGATCCGAGTAGAGAGGCCGTGGTCTTTGACATCGGCAAAGATCTGCTCAAAATTCATGTGACTGACCGCGTTTAACGTCGAGGTACATAAACAGACCGGAATAGACGGCGTTTGAACGAAATAAACGACAATGGATACGTATCTAGGCCTTCTCTTGCATACACTTTGCATGTAGTTTCATTGAAAAATGTATTTTCTCGAGAGAAGATAGCACTTGAAGAAGAAACGACTGATCGTTGCGTAGGATGATAGAGCTGAATTACGGAGGATATTGCCGGTTTTGAGCAAGTGTCGTTACCAGTTTGGTAAATATGTCAAATTGTGTATTTTCGAGCTCGGAATTTATTCACTCGTGAAGTAAATATTGCAACTATAAAATGCACTATGTAACAGAGAAATGACTTTGTCGATATTGGAAATAGACGAGAATTCTTGCGAAGAAACGAGGTTCAGGGTATGTACCGAAAATGGTACACGTGACGTTGAACGCGTTAATAAATAAAAACAGTCAGACTTGCATGGGCAACTCTTTTTGCGAAGCGAGGAATTGATTATATTTCATTATATTTTATAAATAAAAATTAGTAAATGAATTATTAATTTTCTTCTTCGTTCACTCACCTATGGCCCACAAAATTTCTCAAATCTTCCCAATTATATCTGAAACAGTTTTTCAAATCTTCAATTGCACTCGAAATCAGCCAGTTCTCCATCTTCTCCACGTTGAAATTTGCAAATTTTTCTTTTTCAATTGTA